GGAGCACCCCCCCCCCCCCCCCAGACATTGTACAGAATGTAATCTCCGCGTATAATTGGGGCTCCCAGGCTGGATCCCGTTTCTCAGAGGTGCTGACCGACCCTCCCTCTGTATTCTAAAATCTGGAGGGGACTTTGATATGTACAATTCACTTCACTAATCCAGAATTAAACATCTGTTCTTTGTGGATTATCCCTTTTTATTAGCCTTTTTTTTAATATGGGTTTGGTTGACCCCCACAAACGCATTAAAAGGAGATTGAAACCCAAAACGCAGGCTGTAAAATTGCCGTTATCGAAGAAAATGTATTAAACAAAATCCTGTTCATAGAAATGTAAATTTACAGACATTCGCGGCATTCAATATTCGCAGCAAAATTGAGTAACTGCAAAAATACATACACAAAAACAGGTTAAAATGCCCCCCTATGATGATATTCTACTAAGCTTACCCAAGATGGCTGCCTCACCTCCTATCTGCCCCGACACCAATAAGCGCTTTCAGCCCCCAGGGAGAAAAGAGATATAAAAATATACAGTAAATGTATTAAAAAATATATATAACACAATTGATTGGCGCCTTGTGGTGCTTCTCCATCTCATATTCTGAGCTCCGCTGTACAGGGACTGCAATAGGCCGATACCGGCTCAGATACACTAGTTGCTATTAAACATTATCATTTGGAATGAACTAGGGATGCACGGATATATCGGCCGCCGAAACATATGGGCCGAAAATGGCACTTTTGGCTAAATGCCGACAGTGCCATTTTCCTGCCGATACAGCGACGCAGCACTGCTTTCTTTCCTCCCCGCTGGGCGCTGCTCTGTGCCCCAGCGGGGAGGAGAAAAAGTGTCACAGGCAGCCGAGCGCTGCGGGAGGAGAGTGCTGTGAGTGGATGGCGTCTCTCCTCACACACCGCTCAGCCGCCTATCACAGTGCGGCAGAGCGGTGTGTGGGCGGAGACAGCCAGCGCTGTCACAGGAGGCTGGGCTCTCCTCCCTGCACCGCTCGCTCAGCCTCCTGTGACAGCGTGTCAGGAAGGAGAGCGGGTACAAGCAGTCATGTGATCGGTGATCGCTGAGTGTTTGTACATAACATGAGGACAGAGTATGATTACTATATCCTCAATTATGAATGAATGGGAAGTGATCTACATCACATCTACATCACTTCCTGTTGATTGTAGTTATAGTAAACACGCTCTGTCCTCATGTTATGAATGATCAGGAACACTCAGTATAGAGGATTCCTGATCATTTATAAGAGGGGATACAGAAAAAGAGATTCAGTGGTTTAGACCCCTAATGTTTCCACAAAGCCACTAAAAGTAAAGTAAAAAATAAAAATATTTAATACAAAATAAATAAAAATAAAATATTGAAAAAATTAAAATAAAAAACATTTTCACTTTGACTGACAATTTTTTACATTTCGGTTTCCTTTCGGTTTTGAAATGTCCATTCTTCGGTGCACCTCTAGAATGAACACATACCGACCTCAATGGGCATCTTTCTATCTACACCGAGTTCAGGTTTAACTCGCTCTGCAAACATAATAAAATGAAGTAAAACAAATAGAGGCCGGAGGGATCTCTGACCAAGATTCGGAGAGTTTTCAGACGTTAGCAGCTCCTACGGCTTTTAGATTCAGCTCTGGGCTGCTGCTGCTTTGAAGTTGGGTGAGGGGTCATTATGTAAAGGTCACCTTGGAATGTGTCAGCAGATTCCTATCTCTGGCCGGTCCCTTCTGGCCGCCCTGTGGTAACACGTCCTGTAGGAGTGGACTTGCCACATTTTTGGGAAGTTTTCTGCATCACTGCAAACCTCTGCCCACCTCAGCTGAGCGCGGGGTGACCTCATTTCTTAAGGTGTCTCAGATCGTCATCTGCATCCCCACAGCAAGCAAATGACAGGCAGGACGGGGGATAGCTTGCTGTGAGACACGTTGATTAATACGGGGGGGAGGTTGG